AWWWRAAAAATGACATTTTTTGAAATTTCTCTAAAAACAAAGGCTACATCAATATAAACCCATAATATGAAAGCTTACATACCTTATAGAAAGTTATATATAAAACGCTATATATAAAGGACCCTTATAGACCTTTCACTTCATCAAACACATAAACTAAAAGTAAATTCTCATCTTCACCCAAAGATATTACATTCTCTCTATAAGTTCTCTAGCTTTTCAATTTTAATCCCTAATCTCTCGTTTCAATTAAAAAAACCATCTTCGTCCTTTGTGAGCCACATCCAAATCACATTTTCACATTATAATATCAATGGAGAAGCTACAGAAGATGATCTCTGAGAAGTCGATAGTGATCTTTAGCAAGAACTCATGTTGCATGTCTCACATAATCAAGACTCTCTTCTTAGACTTTGGCGTGAACCCAACGATCTATGAGCTCGATGAGATCACCAGAGGAAAGGAGATAGAGCAAGCCTTGGCTCAGCTCGGGTGCAGTCCGACCGTGCCAGTGGTGTTCATAGGAGGGCAACTCGTTGGTGGAGCCAATCAAGTCATGAGTCTCCATCTCAATCGCTCTTTTGTTCCAATGCTTAAACGCGTTGGAGCGTTATGGCTTTGATTTTTTTTTTTTAAAGGAGGGTTGCTAATAACTAATGCATGCTATGTCTATCTATGTTTTGAAAAGATAGATTATGAGAATACCTATTTTGTAATGTGGGTATATTAGTTTCAAACCAAAAAAAAAATAAAAAAGTGGGTATGTTTAATAATAAAATCAGCTAATATTGAACTTCTCCTTTCTCGTGTTTTTTATTATTATTTATTTTTATATATGCATGCATTTAAAAACATGCGTAGGCGTGTATAGGGGCGTACGATATTAATTCACATACGTTTACAAAGAAAAGAAGTTCAAGTACATGATAAATTGAAAAATTAGAGATGAGATATATACTTGCAAAAAATGCGCAGCGACATGGTGAAATACCTATTCTTCCCAGTTGTATTAGCAAATTCATCAAAAAGCAAGTGATGAACTAACTCGTCTCTATCCGAAAAAATCAGGAGACCGACGATACGAGAAGGGACTTCAAGTGTGGTTTACTGTCTCATACTAGATTATTCAAAACACTTTCACTTCTCTTAATCTAAAACTCGGAACAAAAAAGCATTTAATGTAAAAAAAAAAAGTTTTTACTTTGAATTAATTTAACATAT